GATCCATCGATCGATCGGATTTCACGAAATTTTTTTTTTTTTATCCCCGATATTGATACAGAAGGAACGTGAAGAGGGGATGAAGAAAAAATGTGAAATCTTAACCGGATGTAAAATTTAGTTTTAAAAAAACAAAAAGGGTTGAATTCTGTAACCGGAAACTCGTCGCCATTTTTTTTTCCACAAAAAGAAAAAAAATTTTTTTTCTTTCTTTCTCACGCTCATAATAATACTAATAATAATGATATTTGCATTCGTTAATAATAATAATAATAAACCCATTTAAAAAATTAATTAGGATTCGATAATCGAAAATTTCGATATATCGGAATCCATTTTCTTTTTAATAATCTACGTCATTCAGAGTAGTGACGTCATCACCGAATTTATTTTATACGAAAAAATTTTCTCTCGTCGATTTTAATCGTTATTATTATTATTATTATATCGTTAAATCATTAATCATTTTTTTTTTTTTTTAAATTTTTTAATTTCAACGTATTGCAAAAAAAAAAGAAGGAAAATAATAATAATAATAATAATAATAATAATAATAATAATGAAATTTCACACCGTCTTTTGTGAGTTTTTTTTTTTTTTTATTGTTGGAGAATTTCTTAACCCTTGAATTGTAAAAAAAAAAAAAAAAAAAATTCAATCATTCATTTTTTTTTGATGTGTGTGTGTATATGTGTGTACACGCACACGCACGCACATACCCACGTAAAAAAAAAAAATGACGTAAAAACACACCAACACAATAAATTCAGGTGAGTGTGTATAATTATATAAATGATTCCTTGCTTACCCCTCGTCACGAGTTACGTATATATTTTTTTTTAAAAAGATTACCCTTTCGCACGATTTTAAAATGGGGGAAAAAAACATTTTATAATTTTTATCCGAGCCGTATCGTTAAATAAACGGATTTTAATTCGAATTCGTATTGTTGGTTGAGTTTTTTTAAAATACGATCGGGGAGAGGGGTAAATCGTAACCGTTTTTGCTGTCGTCGTCATCGTCGTCATCGTCGTCGTCATCATCAATCCAATCGTCAAACCATTCAAAAAAAAAAAAAAAATTTTTTTTTCTTTCTTTTCCAAAAAGCAATTAGCAATTACGTTTTTTTTTTTTTTTATTTTTTTTCTTTTCTCCCTTTTTTTTTTTTTTTTTACTTTAAACTACTCCCTTGGGAATTAAAAAAAAAAAAAATTTATAAATATTATCCTAATGAAATTTTTGACTACCCGTGACGTAATCAATCATAAAATTAGTTACGGAAATATCGTTTTTTTTTTTTCTTTTTCTGTTTCCTTTTTCATTTTTTATATTTTTTAAAATAAAAAAAAAAAAAAAAGTAAAAAACGATTTCTTCGCGATGTTGGCGACGACGTAAATGACGACGATGATGATAATAATAATAATAATTTCGTAACAAAGTATGAAGGTTAATGAGGAAACAATTACGAAAGTGTAATTTTCCGAAAATTCCGATAACGAAGCAAAAATCCCGAATTTGACGATAACGATCGGAAATATACTCGATGAATGACTTAATTTCCGGTTGATCGATATGTGACAAAACGTAAATAAGAAATTTGCAAATAATACTTCCGGTGGAATGTCAGATGACAGCGTGACAGAGTTCTCAATAAATAATGGATGAATTTAAAGATAGAAATTACTAGGATGTGAAAACGGAAACGATTACTTTCGGTCATATTGGCAACACTGGAAACCATGGCACAATCATCAAAAAAATTAATTAAGGTCATTCCCGAATTTATTCCTGAGGGATTGTTTAAAGGAATGAAATAATACTGGAAAACTCTGACAATGACGTAAAACTTTCCTCGATCGTCAACGGTAATAATAATAATAGTAATAATGCATTACCGTTAAGAAACAACAGTTAATCATCATCATCATCATCATCGCGTCCGATCCGATATAATTTCATTTTTTCCCGCCAAAAAAATTTAAAAAATTACATTTCACGGATAGACAAAACGGACGTAAAAAGTTTGGCGTAAAAATCAATGACGTCACAACGTAATAATTTTTTTGGAAAAAATTTTTTTTTTTTTTTTTAAAAAACGTAAAACGTTCTAGAATCATCCGACGGGGGGTGGGGTGGGGGGAATTAAAAAGATTTTTACGAGAAAAACCAAGTTAAAATAATCTGACATTTGTAATCCGTGTAAATTGAATAACAAAATGTCAAAATGGAGTTTTTAATTTTTTTTTTTTTTTTTTCTCCAAAATGTTTGACTTAGGTAATGTTAGTAATAATAATAATAATAATAATAATAATAATAATAATAATAATAATAATAATAATAAAACCATTTAAATTGACGTGTCTGTCACGGCTTGTACTGTAACGATTGTTTGTTTTTTTTTGGGGGGTGGAAGGGGGAAAGGGTTAATCACGCATTCGGCGTCCATTTAAAATTTTTCCAGTTAATTTTTAATTACACTTTAACGTAATTATTATTATAATTTTTGTTCGTTACTGGAAAATTTTTCAAATGTAACGCGCTCAAATTGAAAAATCACTTTCCAAACTTCCAGCGACGGGTAAATAAAACGTCGACGTAAAGAAAAAAAAAGTTGTGACGTCATTGACTCGCGTGTGTACGTTCACGCACACACGCGAAAAAAAAATTTAGTTTGTTTTTTATTTACCTTTTTACCATACGGCGTAAAGGTACCGATATAGAGGGCAGCAGCAGCGACGGCGACGGAGGCGTCGGCGGCGGCGAAACTTTTTGCAAATTTGGCAACATCCCATCGACGCCATATTATTAATTCCTTCTTCTCTTCTAACCTTTATCGCAAATTCTTCTTTATTTCCTTTTACTAAAGTTTTAAAAAAAAAAAAGATGGATAAATTAAAAAACAAACGAAAAAAAAAAAAAAAAACCATAACGACGACGACAACGACAAACGACAATAATAATAATAATAATAATGTTTTTATTTTTATTTTTATACAGGATGTCACGTAGATTGGAATGCCATTTTTGACAGACAATGCAACGCAACAAAAACAAAAACAAAAAAAAAACCGTTTTTAACGATTGTTTTATCGTAAAAAAAGAAAAAAAAATTTATTATCATCATCATCATCATCATCATCATTGTTTACTTATTTTTATTTCTTTAGTCGTAAAACAAAAACAAAAAAAAAATATATATTTATATATATATACGTAAAAGTATATACGCACACGCACGTATGCGTATTTGTGCGTGCGTGCGTGTGCGATGGATATCATTCATTCATTCATTCATTCATTCGTTTTTTTGTAACGCGAAATTCGTTACATACGAACGAACGACGTAAACAAACAAACAAACAAACAATCAAAACGAATGGAAAAAAAAAGTAAAAAATTATTTTAATTCCTCATGACGAATTTGAAAAAATACTAATAATACTAATAATAATAATAATAACGCACACTTTACTTTTTCGTTCTTTCGTTTTTTTTTTTTTTTTTTTTTTTTTTTTTTAATTTCAAAATGGCGTCCAATCGAAATTCATCAACTTATTATTATTATTATATATATATTTGTTAATTATTATTATTATTATTATTATTATTTAAAAAAATAACTTTACTCCCATTTTAAATGAAACGAAAAAATATTAATAATAATAATAATAATAATAATACTGATGATGATGATAATGATGATGATGATGATGATGATGATGATGATGATGATGATGATGATGATGATGATGATTTAAATGAATTTCGGGTTGTTGTTGTTGTTGGGGGGTGAGGGTGGGAATGGGGGCTTGGGGGCAAATGTAAAAAATTAATAGGAATGACGATACGTAAATAATAATTAAAATAAATAATTAAATTTTTTTTTTATGCGCTTGCGCTCTCTCCCTCTTTCTCTCTCTCTCTCTAGACTCCATTTTGTACTCGTGCGCGTTCAGTTATTCATTTATTTTTAATAACCGATGAGTTTTTTTCTCTCTCTCTCTCTCTCTTTTGCATTTTTATTTGTTCGCACTTTATGGAATCTACGTGTCTAGTCTGCGACTTTAAAAATTACTTTAAAAAAAAAAAAATGGCGCTTTTATTATTTGTTCGTTAGAAAAACATTCGTTTATTATTATTATTATTATTATTATTATTTTATTTTTATTTTAACCGGTAATCATTAAACGCGTAATAATAATTTTTTTTCCTTTTCTTTTCTTTTCTTATTTTATTTTTTTTCCCTCTTTCATTTTACTGTTTTTTTTTTTTTTTAATTATTTAAGTTTCTTTCTCTGTCTCTCTCTTTCTTTTCTTTTTATTTTTAAAGCCGCTGCTTATTCGAAATTAAAAACGCCATTTTTATTAGTTTAGTTATTATTATTAATATTGTTTCGTACCTGCTTTTATTTATTTATTTATTTATTTAGAATAATAATAATAATAATAAAATTTCCTTCTCTTCTTCGACGTACAAAAACAGAAAAAAAAAAAAAACGAAATTAATCAACTTCAAAATGTTTTCGAAAGGGTTCATGACTTCGTTTGAAATATGCGTTCGACGTGTATTTACACTAGCGAAATCTATCAATTAAAAAAATAACTAATTTACTAATTTAGTTTAAAAATTATCCGCCGACGGCAGCGCTTTTGTTTTTAAAAAAAGTGACGTCATTCAAAATGGACGTCGATTTGTTTTTGTTTTGTCAATTACAACTACAACGATTTAAATTAAATAATTATTTAAAAAAAAAAATGGAAAAACACGTTTTGCGAGACAAATTAATTATTTGTTTATATTGTTATAACGTTTTTTTTTTTTTTTTTATACTCTTGTTACCCCCCTTGTTCGTACATTCCTTCCTTTGTTTTCCCGCATCGCTCTTGTTCAGACCTACCAACCCCCCCCCCCAGGGGAGGACAAAGCCCTCCACGGGATGGGGGAAAGTGGGGGGGAGGAAGATGACAACAGTGAGAAAAATGAAAGCAATTACGTCATCAATGATTTTTCATATGATTCCTTTTTAATATTTTCAATAATTTTATATTATTTTCCGTATCGTTTTCTAATTTTTCAATTTTTTTCTTAAGCGTATCCGCTTTAGCTTTCATTAATTTCGCATCGACTTCCGTTTTTTTAATTAATTTTTCTTCTTGTTCTTTTAACCTTTTGACCTTATCGTTAAATTTTTTCATATTCGAATCTTTATTTTTAACATTATTATTATTTGTTTTTGGGAAAACTTTTTGGACTACTCTGTCGATACCACCACCACCACCACCATCATCATCATCATCGTCATCATTATCATCATCGCGAACGGAATCGATGGATATCATTATTGGAGGAGCCGTCGGAGTTAAAAGACTTAAAGGAAAAAGTAACAAACAAACAAACAAAATTAATAATATAGGAATACAAAGAAGATGAGAAATAAGAGAACGTGTCACTAACAAACAACAAACAACAAACAACTCACTTAGATTTTTCTTTTTCTTCCATATCGTCTAAATATTCGATTGTCGCGTTTGTTTTCTCATCTTTGAAAACAGACAACTGATTAACCAAATCTTGTAATTTTTTATTTTCTTCCGTTTTTATTTTTATTTCATCTTGTAATTTTTTCGTTTCTTCTTTTATCTTTTTCGTATCTTCTTCTATTTCGCTCAATCTGGGAACTGAATCAATCAATTTTTCGTCTTTCATTTTTCCTCTCATTTCAAAATCCGAATTTTAAAAAAAAAAGAAAAGAAAAGAAAAGTTTTTTTGTTTACCCGTCGAAGAACTTTTTTTCGTTACTTCCGGTACCGTTTTCTTTATATTTTCCTTACACGTTTTTATTGCCACGTCCATCATTTCGATTTGTTTTAATACTTTTTTCTTTTTCTCCTCCAATTCTCTACTTTTACTCATGTACGACTTCAATAGATTTGGTAAATTTTGATTGTTTCTTATTTGTTTGTCGGAAAATTCAGTACTCGACATTTTTCTTTTCTTTTCTTTTCTTTTTCCCCCAACTACAAATTCTCTCCTCCTTCTTCTCCCCTCTTTTCCCTTCTTCTCTTTCTTCTTTAATCCATCATACGTGATGACGTAGATAATTATTATTATTATTAATCGAAAATATACATATAAATCATTAATTAAATCTACATGATAATAATATTAATAATAATTAATTTACCTGATCGATGTATCGATTGAATGATTTTTTTTTTTTTTTCCAGGGGGGAAAGAATCGTAATTAATTTGCCTCGCACATTTTATTACCTTTCATGTATTATTATTATTATTATTATTATTTATTATTATTATTTATTTTCTTCTGCTTGTTTGTTTTTGTTTGTTTTTAGCCACGAATTTTCACGTTCGAGAAAATTTTTTTTTCTTTATTTTTTTCTTTTGTTAACGGTATGTAAACAATCGTGTCACCTGACATGCGCGCCATTATGTTTTGTTAATAATAATAATAATAATAATAAAGTAAAGCAGAAGACGAATCGTAAAAATAAACAAAAACGAATTCAAAAAAAATTTTTTTTTTCCAAGACGAAAAAATCGAAAAAATAAAAGTTATTACGTAAAGAAGAAAAATGATTTATGATAATAATAATAATAATGATGATGATGATGATAAAATTTTACATACGCGTAAAAACAAATTAATTCTCTCATTAAATAAATTTGCAATTAAAAAAATTATAAAAATTCAAAAAGAAAAAAAAAAAAAAAAAAAAAAAAGGTGAATAAAAAATTTTTCTCTTTAGGGTCTACTAACCCCGAGGACTTTGACCTCGGTTATATTTTCATTTACAAAATTTGGGTTAAAAAATGATTAAACATTTTTTTTATATAAAAAAAAAAAAAAAAATTGGGTGGTTTGATGTTAGGTCAACGACACAAATGTAAACAAAAACAACAACAACAACAACAACAAGAACGGCCATCAAAAAAAAAAAAAAAAAAAAAAAAAATTGATCTAATTTTTATTTTTTTTTTTTAAATAAATTTTTTTTTTACGATTGATTTTGCCATAAATTAAAATTTATGTTAAATGCAGGGGAGGGAGAGAGAGAGAGAGAGAGAGGGGGGGCAGGGAAAACAGAGAGGGAGAGAGAGAACGACAGCAAAACAGAGAGAAAGAGAGGCAGGGAAAACCGACTATAGTGAAAGAGGGGCAGGGAAAACCGAGAGAGAGACAGAGGGAGAGGGGCAGGGAAAACTGGGAAAGAGAGGGAAAGAGGACAAGTAGAGAGAGAGAGAGAGAGAGAGAGAGAGAGACAGGAGACAAGTAGAGAGAGAGTGAGAGGGAAAAAAATTTTCTTTTCACAAAATTTAGTCGTAATAACAGTAAAAAGAGTTGGAGGAGGTGGAGGAGGGGGGAAGGTAAAAATTCACAGATTTCACATATCGAACGATTAGTTTTTAAGAGTTCAAAAGGTTAAATGACAAGAAAATAATAATAATAATAATAATAATAATAATAATAATAATAATAATAATAATAATAATGATAATGATAATAATAATAATAATAAAATGAAATCACTCGGCGTTATATTTGCCAACACAAAACCCCTCGCTTTCGACACTCCCACTCCCTTCCCCTTTCTCCTCCTCCTCCAAAAAAAAATTTAAATCCGATTTAATTTTCTTTCTTTCTTTCTTCCCTTTTCCCCTCCCCGCTCCCCCTACCCAAATATTTAAACGTCACGGGATTTAGTTACAAACGAAACAATTTGATAAAATAATAAATAATAAACTCCCGAACGGAAGGAAATTCAATTTGTTCTTTTATACAAAAGAAAAGACGTGGATTTTCATTAAAAAAAAAAAAAATTATTTTCCGGTGCGTGTGGGGGAGTGCGAGGTAAAAATTGTCTTCTTACACACACACACGTTTATATATATATATATGTCGAACGTGGGGATTTTCGGATCGTTGTCGAATGGATGGAAAATTGGTCACGACTCAAAAACACAAGACTCAAAACGAAGTTAACGCACTCATTAATGCAAATAAATTAAAAATTTTTCTTTCATTTAATTTTCTAAATAATAATAATAATAATAATAATAATAATAATAATAATGATGATGATGATGATGATGATAATGATGATGACGATGATTGTGATGATGATGATGAAAATTTATTCGGATTTTTTTTTACGAGTTTATTAAACCTAAAATTTAATTACGTGTCATATACTCATACGCATATATATATATATATACGCACACGCACATAAGCGACGACGACGATGATGATGATGACGACGGGTGACTGTGACGACGATTGTGGTGAAATGCACGTATATTTATATATAATAAAGGTTTATTGACCATATTTGACACGTGATCGGAATCTATTCCATCATGCTCGATGATCACTTGTTTGTCAACGATTTGCGAAAAAAAAAAAAATTTTATACACGTGGAAATTCTCATGCATCCGTTCTGAGAATCCATTGGACGATAAAACGCATGCATTCACGCATGCATCCCCCCTCCCTTCCCGCCCCGCACACACACGCACTTTTTTTTTCTTTTTTTTTTTTTCGAAAAATTTCGTTTCCAGATATGAGAACAAGAAAAAAATGCGTTTCGTCACGTAGTTGTGCGAATGGAAAAACCTTCCGAAATAAGTCAAAAAAAAAAAAAAAAAAATTTTTTTTCTCAGTTCCCTGACATAAATTTTACAATCGATTCTAACAACAACAACAACAACAACAATAATAATATTAATAATAATAAATTTCACGTTACAAACGACGAACGGAAAAATATAAAAAAAATTTTTTTTTTTTAAGAGATGAGAAAAAATTATTATTATTATTATTATTATTATTATTATTATTGGGGGGAAAAGGATCGTTGTCGTCATGATGGTGGTGGTGGTGAGGGGTGTTGAGGGTAGTAGGGGAGGTAAATGATATAAAAATCTTTTTTTACATCGTTAGAATTATTTTCTAAAGCGAAACATCCCTTAAAAAAAAATAATTTTCACCCTTACGGATGAACTTTAACCCCTTGACCGAACTTTTTTTTTAAATCGAACAACAATCGAATCGATTCCATTCGATAATCGATAAAAATCGATGATTCGTCTTGTCCTTTTGCAAAACAGGGTTTCGATCGTAAACTGTAAAAATTTAAATTTTAATAATAATAATAATAATATAAATACGACAATGACCGAACCTAGCAACAAAATTTAATTTTAAATTTATTCAAATAATCATCATCATTATCATCATCAATTTTTTTTTCTTGTCGTTTAAAATTTAAATTCAGAATCTTCTCCGTTAATAATTAACCTGATTTCATCCACGAAAAAAAAATTTTTTTTTTTTTTAACGGGTCATTTTGAGTTCGCTAGCCCTCGTCCAAAAATCTCTCGTTTAAATAAAAAAATTATTGCCACGACAAAATTTTCCTATCCCTTTTACGTCCCGGAAAAGGAAAGAGGGGGGAAGAAGGAGGTAAGAGAACCTTCTGAAATGTTTTTCCCCAACTTCCGGTTCTTATTTTCCTTATCGATAAGTTTCCCTTATCCGAGTTTTTCCACAAAATTTCTATAATCGATTCCTTAGGGAATAAATTTTCATTTTATCCCAATTAACAAACGGGTAGGAGGGTAGGAGGGTAGGGAATGATAGGAGGAGAAGGGATGGCAATAAATCAACAACAAACGAATAAAAACAAATCGCGGATTTGAAATTAAAACAAAAAATTTTAACGTATCCCGAAAAAGAAAAAAGGGAAAACGAAAACGGCGCAAGCCCTTGGAATAATAAAAAAAAAACAAGGGAAAAATCCCGGTCAACATCGGGAAAAAAAGGGAGGAGCTTTTTTCTTTTTCCCCCCTACAAACGAGTAAACGATAAAAAAAAAAAATTTTCCTCCTCCCATAAAATATTTACGAGAGGAATTTTTTTCCACGTCATCCATTTTGACACACAAACGGATAAATAATAATAATGATAATAAAATCGAAGTCCCCCCCACCCCCCTCTTAAAATAATTTTTTTTATATACGACGAAAATAAAATTCGAAAAAGTAAAAGCAGAAGAAAAATGACAAAAACAATATTAAATTTATTTAAATTTAAAAAAAAATATTCATCGTATTGGTTAATAAAAAAAAAATTTAAATTTAAATTTTAAATTTTCATATAAAATGGGAAGTATCAAAGATGATATGCGACAGACGGATTTGCGGTTTCAATCAACGCCCCGGGTTTAAACAAACAAACAAACAAACAAACACACACAAACATCCGTTCTGCAACTACATAATAACAAACAACACAAATTTTAAAAATGACATTGTTATTAACGTTATCGTATTCAACTTACATCGCGTGTGTTTTATTTATTATTATTATCGTTTTAATTAAATATTATTTTAATTTAATCGAAAATAATAATAAGAAAAATTATTATCATTATTATTTAAAATCATCTTTCAAACAACTTCCGGGACCTAAACGTTTACCAATCATCGGTAATCTTCACCTTCTTCGCGGATATAAGGTACCTTATCAAGCTTTCACGGATCTATCACTTAAATATGGTAAAATCTATCATTTGCAATTGGGAACCGTGTCTTCGGTTGTCGTTCACGGATTGGACAACATACGAGAAGTCCTAATACAGAAGAGTAATCATTTCGATTCGAGACCTAATTTCGACAGGTACCATAAACTCTTTGACGGAAACAAAGAAAATTGTAAGTTTTTATTTCATTTTTTTTTTAATTTTCTTTACTTTAAAGACACCAGCGCACACACACACAGACACACACACTAGCACAGCACACACACACACACACACACACACACACACACACTAGCACAGCACACACACACACACACACACCTACCTACCACAAGCACCAGTACACACCCCACACACCTTACGCACCAGATGCATCCGCACACAAAAGCACACCCACACCACAAACATACATCACAAGCACAAACATATCCCAAGCAAACACTAGGATAGCACACACACACGCCCCTAACACAAGCACCAGCACACATATATACCCCATACACACCACACACACCAAACGCAACAGCCCACACAAGCACACACAAGCACAGCACACACACACCCACACATCACACATATCAGCACACACACAAGCACACATATACCCTACACGCACCAGCACACACACACACACACACACGAGCGCACCCTCGGGGGGAAAACATGGCGGCGACGACAAGTAGAAAACCGGGGAGGAACCCCGGAGGGGAACAAGAACAAAAAAAAACTTATGTATTATTTCTATTAATATTAATGAAAGGGTTAATAATAATAATAATAATAATATCGTTGGATGGATCGATGGATCGATCGATCGATCGATCCATCGATCAGATAACGACAATCAAATCGAATGATCTATGTATTATTTATTCTCATTGAATTAATTTCCGTTTTGAAGCAAAAATAAAAATAAAAAATAAATAAATAAATAAATAATTACGTCTCGGATGCTGCCGTGTGTGTGTGTGTGTGTAAGACGCCCCGTTGCCACGTTTTAAACGGCAAACACTACACGTGACTATGTTTAATGTTTTTTTTTTTGTTTTTTTTTTTTTTGTTTTTCCAGCGCTGGCATTTTGCAATTGGTCAAAAGTACAAAAAAAACGACGGGATTTATTAAAGGATCACGTTTTTCCAAAAATCTACACAAACAATTACAAACAATTAAACGAATTGATTTGTTACGAAATAAATAAAATGATTGAAAAAATTACTATGATGAATAAAAAGAAAAACAATTCCGGCTCACCGGAAATAAAAGAAAATTTTAATAATAATAATAATAATAATAATAATAATAATAATAATAGTAACAAATCTAACGCGAATAACGAAACCGATATTATTAATAATAATAATAGTAATAGTAATAAAATATTATTTCGATTAATTGAAAGCAGACACGTTGATACTCTCGTTAGATTTTCAAAATACGCTGCTAATAATAATAATAATAATAATGATAATTGTACGGTAATAACGAAACCGGTTATTGAACCGCAAAATCCGGTCAGCATAAAAGATTATTTATTACCGACGTGTTGTAATATTTTTCTCAGGTATTTTTGTTCGGCAAACGATTATTTGAAAAAGACAAACGACAACAACAACCACAACGACAACCACGAATACATATCGTTTGTTAATGATTTCGATAAGATTTTTTACGAAGTCAATCAAGGTTACGCTTATGATTTTCTACCATTTTTAAAATTTTTCTATTTTAAAAAAATGAACAAAGTCATTAAACATTCGGAAAACATACGAAAATTTGTTTTGAAACATTTAATACGAGATCGTTTGAACACGAACATAAATGGGGAAAAAACCCCAAATGATGATAATGATGATGATGGTGATGATGGCGATTTTTTGGATTGCCTATTGAAAAACGTTAGGAAAAGTGAAAACAAGAAGAAGATGGAAGATGGTGGTGAGGGTGGTGATGGCGGTGAGGATGGTAGCATAGACATGGAAACGGCTTTGTTTTCACTCGAAGACATAATCGGGGGTCATTCGGCCGTTGGTAATTTTCTAGTCAAACTATTGACTTTTTTAGTTGATAATAAAACAGTTCAAGACAATATAAAAAAAGAAATCGATAGGAGAGAGAAAGACTTTATTTCTCTTGACGATAGACAATATATGCCCTATACGGAATCCGTTATTATGGAAGGTTTAAGAATGTTGTCGTCGCCGATTGTTCCACACGTTTCAAATCAAGACACGACGATCGCAGGTAAGGCAAACAAACATGCAAACAAACAAACAAACAAACAAATTGACTTTTTTTTTTTTCTAAAACGAATCCGATTACTAATTATTATTATTATTATTTTTTTTTTGTTTTTGTTTACCACGGGAACGCGTGCAGGTTATCACGTGAAAAAGGACACGTTGATTTTTTTAAACAACTACGAATTAAACATGTCGGAAAATCTTTGGTCCGATCCGTACAAATTCGATCCGACGAGATTCATCAACGGGGATACGGGATTCAAAACGAAACCCCAACATTTTTTACCCTTCGGCGGTGGGAAAAGATCTTGCATGGGCTACAAACTCGTTCAATTCATTTCTTTTGTCTTTTTGTCAAACGTCGTTAATCATTTTGAAATTTTATCCGTTCCCGGTGAAAAATATAATGACGTCACGATCGGAAATTTATCATTGCCCACCCAAACGTTTAAATTTGATTTCCGATTGAGAACGTTATAATAATAATAATAATAATTATAATTCCCTCCCTCCCTCTCCTCCTTCCTTCATCCATTCCTCCCTCCTACTCCCCTCCCCCCTCGAAAAAAAATAAATGAATTAAATTAAATTAAATTACGAATTTTTTCTTTTTTATTTTTCTTTTCTTTCTCTCTCTCTCTCTTCCCCACTCCACTCCCCTCCCCTCCCCCAGGCATCGTCGTCGTCGTCGTTAATATTATTATTATTATTATTATTATTGTTGTTGAGAATTTTCCTCAATTATAAAAATCATTCCCGTTTCATTACATTAAAAAAAAAAAAATCGTAAAAATTTCGAAGGAAATTTTCCTCGTAAAATAAAAAGCGGTCGTTTAATAATAATAATAATAATGATGATGATGATGATGATGATGATATTAAAAAAATGTCCACATTGTTATCAGTAAGTGATGATACCGATACATTTGTTCCATTTGGCGGGGGTGGTAGTGATAAAAAAAATACAAAACGACAAACAACAATCGAACGACGAGAAAATTTAAAATAAAAAAAAAAAAATTCGTTTGAGGTTGATTGTTGTTGTTGTTTTGTAATATACGAATAATACAAAATAATAATAATACGAATACTGAAACAAAAAAAAAAAAAAATCAATCGAAATCGAACGTGGTAATAGACAAAAAAATGAAATTTTTCTTAAAGATATTAAAAGTAATCAAAGAAAATTAAACAAGGATATGACAAACAACAAACGAAATTCGTACAAACGCTCTTGATAAATTATTTTCACTTAAACAAACGTGTAAATAACGAAACAAAAATTTTTAAAGACAAAAAAAAACGAATGAAACAACAACAACAATTAGAACAACAACAGCAAAATTTTTGGAGGGAAAATCAACAAAGAAAAATGTTTTTCACTCCTGCCACGTTCGTTTTTAAAAAATGCCGCGAATGAATATGCGATTTTCATTTTTTTTTTTTTTTTTATTACGAATATGGTAAACTTCGTGGCAGAATAATAATAATAATAACAATAATAATAATAATAATAATAATAAATAAATAACAAAAAACAACAAACGATTGGAATAACCTTCATTGAATGATGATAATCATGATGATGATGATGATGATGATATTTAAAAAAATTTAAAAAAAAAAAAATGGCTAATAATTATTCATTGTCACACGGCATTACGAATGATAATGAAGTCTATATAAAAAATAAGAGAAGGCGGTGTCGGTGGTGGTGGTGGTGGTAATGGTAGCATTGTCGGAAAAATAATTGGAGGGGAGATGAAAAACAAGAAGAAGAAGAAGAAGGAAAAAGACAAGAAACATAGAATAATAATAATAATAATAATAATAATAATAATAATAATAACGATTTAAGTTATTGGATAATGACCGACCGACGAGATGAACAAAATCTTTTTCCTGTAATTATAATAACGTGTCACGTCGCAAAAACGAAAATCTAAAACCACGACAGTGAAAATCGTTTTTCGTTTTTTTTTTTTTTTTTTTTTTTTAGTCCAAGTTTGCTTGACCTTGACCTTAGAAAACTTATATGTATTAAATGTAAAATTTTTATATATATAATAAATTCGCATCGGTTTTCGTTGATTGTTTTCGTTTGTTTGTTAGTTTGTTCGGTTTGTTCGCTCGGTTTGTTTGTTAGTTATTACGGTTCGTGATTTTGTTTATAAAAAAAAATTTTTTTTGTCGATCTCACGCAATCATATTCAAGTTGTCCGTTTAAAATAATTTTGTTTACTCGCTTACGACAACAACAACAACAACAACCAGAAAAATATTTTAACGGTTTAAATAAATATAATTTCCGCATTTTCTCTCTATCGAGCGTTTATACGACAAAACGTTTTCCATCTGGTTCCACGTTTTCGTCGTGCGATTAATGTTTTGGATATTTTTTCATTTCACGGGTAAGTTTTTTTATATTTTTACTGTGATAACTGAGAGACAAAAATTTTTTTTTTCGTAGAAATTAATTTATTATTCAGTTCGCGCGTTTCCCCCTCCCTCCCCCCATATTTTTGGCATCGATTCCTACATTACGTAAAAAAAAAAAAAAAAAATTTGCCAACTACAATAAAAATTTAAACGGTTGGATTTTCTTATTCGTAATTTTTTTTTTTTTTTTACCTTAATACCGACCGAAATCTTTGTTAAAAAGTAAAACTAATAAGTGACACAATAAAAAAAAAAGAAAAAAAGAGCGAGAGAGAGAGAGAGAGAGAAAAAGAGTGAGAGAGAACAACAGCAAAAAAAAGTAAAAAAGAGAGAGAAATAAAAGATACGTGGTAAAGAGAGAGAGAGAGAGAGAGAGAGGAGAAAAGGATTAAAGAAAGAGAGAGAAATAGCACGGAACGAAAGGAAGCAGATCTCAAAAAAAGAAAGAAACAGAGGAGGAGAGAAAGAAGGAGAAAGAGAAAAATACAAACAAACAGAAAGAGAGAAAAAAATATAAACAAAGGGAAGGAAAGAGAGAGAAATAGATAGAAATAAAGGATGAATGATAAGGAGAAAGAGAGACAGGAAGAGAAAAGGAGTAGATCTCAAGAAATATGGAAAAAAAAAAGAGAGAGAAAGAGAAAGTGTGTCACGCACGTACAAACGCCCCCCCAAAAAAAAAAAAATTAAATAAAATAAAAAGAAATTTTCTCTCTCACTCTGTTATCATTTCCTTCCCTCTCTCTCTCCCCTCTTCCCCCCTCTCTCTAACCAATTTCAACAATGTAAACAAATATGGCGGTGCGAATTTTTAAAAAAATTTTTTTAAATAAAACCTTATAAATTAAAATAAACCGTCGGGGAGGGGGGGAAATAATAATAATAATAACAATAGAAATTACGCGCGTGTTTCTCTCTCTCTCTCTCTTTACCGCCTTCTTGTTCGTTAATTAAATGTATTAAATCGAATTCCTTTTTATTTATTACCCAAAACGTATCTTATCAATTTCATTATCACTTTATTTACTTTATTTATTAATGTATCAATTCTTTTTTATTTATTTATTTATTTATTATTATTATTATTATTATTATTATTGATTTTATTCAAGGTTTTTTTTTTTTTTAAATTAAAATTTCAATCCAAACATTTTTGGAAAATAATAATAATAATAATAATCGTACGCTCACGTTTTCCCGGATTTTTCGTTCGATTTTAAAACGAAACCGAAATAATAATAATGATAATAATAATGATAATAATAATGATAATAATATAGCAATCTTATCGACTCGAAGGTAATTAATTAATAATAATAATAATAATTATAAGTTTATTGAACTAATGACCCAGTAAATTTTCCATACGATTCATTCACGTGTGTGTAATTTTTAAAAAAATAAATTCCCGAGAGAGAGAGACAGAGAGAGAGAGATAGAGAGAAACGTCATATTATTACGTCATAAAAATTTCGTTTATATAAAAATTCCTCTTTCAACTTCCGTTTTCCCGAAGGTTGAGATCCTTTTTTTTATCAAAAGAAAAAAGAAAAGAAAAGGAAAAATGACTGACTTACCATTTTAATTTTCCTAATTGATTAACTATGATATCAGTATCGGAATAAGAATTTTGTACGAGGCCGACAACTTTTAAATGATTTTTTCCTCATATTTTTCCTTTTACCTGCAACAACAAAAAAAAAAATGTCGTCTGCTGCATGAAACAGGAAATAATTACACACACATTCGAGGATATACAAATTAATACGTATATGCAAGCGCAACGTTAGAATTTTTCTCGAAACACCCCGAAAAGAATCCACTCCGCCCCCCGCACAAACCGAAAAAAATATACGTTGAGATGTGCACGCGTGCTCTGTCTCGTTTCGTCACGTGACAAATGACGTCATTAAAACCAAGTAAAAAAAAAAAGGAGGACGGGGAAAGACGGGGAAAATAAAGCGGATAAAAATCCTGTCCCTAATTTTTTTTAAAATACATTTAAAGACCCTGAAAAAAAAAAATTTTTTTTTTTTTTTTCGTTCGTTTGTTTGTTGTTGTTGTGGTCGTGGTTGTTGTTGTTGTTCTTACACGAATCGAAAATAATAATAATAATAATAAGTGAAAAAAAAAAAAAATAATTAAACGGGAAATTTTAAAATTAAAAAAAACTTTTTTTGTATGTTCGTGAGTGATAGGATATTTTACGCGATGATGATGATGATGATGATGATGATAATGATAACGAGAAAAGAATAACCGTCGGTTGTTATAACGACAATAAAAACGGGCGTGTGGCAGTGGCAGTGGCAACGACGACGACAACGACAACAGTTTACGTTTTAATCATAATAATCGGGAAAATTTTTATAAGACAAACATCGAAAATTTTATTATTTTATTATTTTTACAAATTATGTCAAAAGTGAAAGTTTACGTTTGATGATAATAATAATAATAATTTACAATTGATTATTTTAGTTATGTGATTTATCGATCGATCGATCCATCGATCGATTATTTCGATATTTATTATTATTATTATTACTGGTAATTTTCAGGTAATAAAAATATAATTTATTTTATTTTTATTTTCCATCGTTAAATACTTTATGTGTTGATATCAACAAGTTACGACAAACGTTATTTTGTCACGATTCAACGCCGACAACCGAAAAAAAAAAAAAAAAACGCACGCGTGTTTTATCATTATCATCATCATCATTATTCGCGTGCGTTTTTTTTTTTTCCTCCAAAGTTTGCGTGTTTTTTTTTTTTTTTTTTTTTTTTTTGGTTAAGAATTTCCGTGCGAATTGTTTGACACGAAACGTGTAAAAAATTTCCCGAGGTCATTTTTAACGATGACCCCCTCCCCGCGCCCCCCAACCTCCCGCCACCACTACCACAACTCGCTTTAGGGGATGAACGAGGAAGGATTTACTAGAGCAGGGAAAGGGGACGAGGAAAAGAGGGGAAGGCAATGACAAACGGAAGTTGAGGATTAATTTCCGGTATAATTATAACATAACACGGGACGGGGAGGGCAATATAAATAAATAATAATAATAATAATAATAATCGACCTCGTATATCCGTCATCCGTACGTCCCCGTTTTCTCGTTTTTTTTTTTTTGACCCTGACGCCAATTATTTTTTTTTATTTTAAAAAAGTTTTTAAAAATGCCGCCATTTTTTTTTTTTTTCGTAACGATTTCCTAATTTAGATGATCCTTGTTTTCGAAAAAAAGAAAAATTACATTCAATCATTTCCTTTTCCTCCTCTTTCTCCTCCCCTCCCATTCCACCCCGTCCCCCCATCTCCCGCCGATCGTAAAGAAAAAAACCCCGAAAATGTTATTATTATTATTATTATTATTATTATTATTTGTAACAACGAATTCTTTTCTTTTTTTCCGTACTCACTCCCCCTCCCTTCCTCCCCCTTTCCCCTGCTCCTCCTACCAACCTACAAAACTTTTTCCCAAACCCCCCTTTTCCACTCCTCTTCCTCCTCCCTTTTTTTTTTTTTTTTTTTAAATTTCCCGTTTATTTGAAATATTCGAAGCAGAAGAAACATTGAAAAGAATAATGAAATCGTTTCAAATTTTTTTGTTTATCAAGGTCAGGTATTCAAACTCATCTGCGTGCGTGCGTGTGTGCGTGTTTGTGTTTGTTTTTGCTCTCTTTTTTTTTTTTTTCCTAATTGAATGGTAATTATTATTATTATTATTATTATTATTATTATTATTATTATTATCATTATTATTATTGACAATATTCACATTCGACGTGAATGAATAATAATAATTATTGTTTTTTTTTTTTTTTTTTGAAATTTAAATTTAAAAAAAAATTTTTTGTCTGTTTGTTTGACACAAAATTTTCCGATAATTGATAATAATAATAATAATAATAATAATAATAATAATAATAATGATAATGATAATTTTGTTGTGTTTTTTTTTTTGTTTGCTAACAGGAGAGAGGTTGATCAGCGACGTCGCTTAATGAAAATCTTTCGTTTAAAATTTTTTCAATCTCCGAACGATGGTAAGTCCCAAACAATCAATCAATCAATTAATCAATTAATCAATTAATAATAATAATAATAATAATAATAATAATAGTAAATTAACAAAAACGTGTAAATAGAAAATAATAATAATAATAATAATTTTTTTTTAAATTCACCGAAAGTTATCGAACTCTCGCGAGCGCGAACGCGTGTTAATTTTTCATCATTTGATTTCCTTCTTTCGTTTGTTTTGTTTGTTTGTTTGTTTTGCAAAAAATAATAATTATTATTATTACTTTTTAAATTTTCCCGCCGTTACATTGATTACGAAATGATTATTATTACCCGCCTTTTGCGTAAAAAAAAAAAAAAAAAAAAAAATTTAAACATAATAAATAACTTTTTCACTCACGTATACTCGGGAAATCTACGCTCTGTGACGTCATACATTAAGATAATAATAATAATAATAATATTCTTTATCTTTTTCGTAAATAAATAAAATAAAAAATAATAATAATAATTTTAAGGATTCCCATGATTCAATTTGGATTATCTAATAATACTTTAATTATTTACACGACGTTTTTTTTTCTTTTTTTTTTTTTTTTTAATGATAAACGTGAAATTCTTTTATAATCGCTATTATTATTATTATTATCATCATCATTATTATTATCTAAGGGGCTTAAATAATAAAATAATTCGATCTCCCCGCTCCCCCCCCCCCCGTCGAACGAAGGGACGGACTCTCACGAACTGTTTTCTTACGGTTAGGTAAAAATAATTATTTCGAAAAAATTTCATTATTTAAATTTTCCCCATGAAAATAATAATAATAATAATGATGATGATGATGATGATGATGATGATGATAATAATAATAATAATGATAAATTTTTTTCAAACCGTCTCTCTGTTTTTTTTTTTTAAATTAAATAATAATTAAAATATTTTTTTCTTTTTTTTGCCGTCGCCGTCGCCGACGTCATCGTCGTCTGCTTTTATTTATTTATTATCAACATCATTAATATTTTTATTATTATTATTACTACTAATGTTATTTTGTTATGTTTTTTTTTTTCGATCTGTCGTTTTATCATTATTATCGTTATAATTATTATTAATATTAATATTAATAATAATAATTTTTTTAATGAATGTTTTCTATTTTTTTTTTTTTTTGTTTTCATTTCGACGTTGCCAAATTTACATTTAAATCGATTATAAATCAAACGAACGACGACGATATTCTAATTTGAAAACAAATAAAAAATTTAATAAAAAAAAATTTAAAATTTTGGGGTTTGAAAAGTTCGAAAAAGGGATAATAGATGGCGCGCGCGTGAGAGAAAAAAAATCGGTGGCGATTTTTTTCCTTTTTTTTTTTCTCCAGAATTTTTCCAGAAGTTACAAACAAAATTCAAACGTAAATTCTATTATAAAAACGCAATGGAAAATATTCGCGACCGTTCGATTCGCGTAGTCGATATAAATCGATAAAACGTTTTTAAAAAAAAAAAACTCGAAACGTATCGAAACGAATGAGAAAATTAATTATTAATTTAACCGATAGATGTCGGGGAATTCGTTCATCGCATTCTCTCAACGTCAACGGACGTTTTATTAAAATAAATTTAGAATCAATCCGTACATATAATCATCAATTGAAAATAATAATAATAATAATAATATTAATCCCATTACGAAAATCCATTTCGAAAAGAGAGAGAGAGAGAGAGATATACAGAGCGGGGGAGGGAATGGGAAAAAAGCACCGGTTTTACGAATCAAAATGAGAAAAAATATACATCAGTAATAAACATTTAAAAAAAAAAAAATTAAACTTTTCCTTTGATGACGTTTACGACGACGACGACGTCGACGTCGATAATAATGATGATTATAACAATAATATATATAAAATTCACAGAGTTTGCGCCTAAACTTGTGGTGGGTGTTAAATTTCCAATGTTAAAAAAAAAAAAACGTTAAAGCGCATGTCACGATATTTTAAATCAATTTCTCTCGACATGACCATTTTTTAATTGTTCGTCAAAAGTATCGGTTTTTTTTTTTGGTTGCATTATCATTATCATTATTATTATTCAAATAATTAATTTTTTTTCTTATTTTATTATTATTATTATTATTTAATAATATTGTCGTAAATCGCGTTCATTTTATTTTATTTTTTTTTTTAAATTTTTCTCTTTCGGTTTCTTTTACATATATATATATATGTAAGTGAAGTGAAAACCTATCATTATTATTATTATTATTTTCGATATTTGAAATTGTTTCCATTTGTGTGTTAGAATAATAAAAAGAGAAAGAAAATCGATAAATACGTTTAACGTTAATAAAGTGTCTCTGTCTTCAAGTATTTGTACGTGTTTTATATCGATTCGTTAGTAATAAGCGTGTGTGTTAAGTGCTTAATTTTTTTTCTTTTTTCCCCCCGTATAAGTAAATGTGTGTATGTGCGCGTCCGGGCAAACTCCTACCCTACGGATTGGGATGCAATCAAGAACTTTTTAGGTTTTTAATTTCACTGTGCAGTCCTTTGGATAAGCCAAACAATAAAATGATGATTCATTCAGGATTGACGCTGTTGGGAGTAGCATTTGAAATCGGAGCAGACGCCATTGGGAAACACGAATCACTTTAGGTCATGGATAAGGATGAACTTTGTAGAAATTTATTTTCTGTAAGTGTTAATT